ACATAATAGACATAACTGTAAGGCGATTTTCGAGCGAAAAAGTTTAAAAACCACAAATTCCGCCCACAGAAAAGAGGTTATTTGATTAGAGTACTTCATAGTTTGCGTAAGCGTTTTGAGCGACTAGGAAAGTATAGCTGTCGAACTAGAATTCTGAGTGCGCGCCGGCGTCTTGAGTGTACGCCAGCATCCACTGAAAAAGCCCGTACCCTGATGTTTGCTCAAAGCGATGGATCGACACCTATACGAGTGGCTGGAAACGCTGTCGTAAGCTCAAAACAATTTCGCAAAGTATGAACGCACTATAAGCTAAGCACAATTTCAGTATCCAACATTGGGTTGGGTAAAATGGCGGTGACACCACTGTCAGAAATAGTCCTTTCGAACTGCCACCAACAAGGAGTCAAATGACGCGTGATGTAGCAAAAAAATAACAACCAGAAAAGTTTCTCCTGAGGCCAAATACCACCCCATCTCTAGCCGCCATGTACGATTCCCGTGATGGGTCTTGTACAACGATGCTACTCTGGAGCGAAAATTGCAACAATCAACAAGAGCTCACACCGTCATGCTAAAAGGGACAGGATAGTTCCTTATATCTGACGAATTTGATTCCTGTTGATTCAACAAATACTACTCAGCTGTTGTCGATGAGGACCTCCCTGGGCGTTACTGTAATCTTCGAACTTCGGTGGGCGAAGCGCGAACATTTGCAAGCTAGTCAGTTTCGGTCCTTCGCAAGCCTACGAAGTAGTAACCATCCATCCAAGCATTTCTCTCTAGTTTCGATAACTACTCCCACTGAACCAAAATGTCACTGTTGTATCAGAAAACCCATGCTTCCCTGAACTCAAGCTGAGCTCAATAGCGCGCTTATACTTCGCGATCTCATCGCTTGGCACTGCTGGAGTATTTGGATCATCGACATAAAAGATCGGATCACAAAGTATGAATGGCACTCTGCCGGGTTTATCGAAAAGGCCTCATTATCGTAAGCAGTAACTTACAAATTCGTTTTCTTCCCTTGGACTATACTTTCTACGCAACCGAAAAGGCCTCTATGCAACAAACAGCTGACGTCGACGGCCACCGAACATCCTGCGAATTCTGCCACATTACCCTGAAATAAGCACAAGTGCTTGTATTCGGTTTCTCTTGGGGAGAACTTCCGACGAACAGAAAGATTGCAAACCTGCCGACAAGCATTCTTTACAAATGGCAGGAGGTTATTAATACCCATCCCTGGTGCTTCCATTCGATCAGAAACCTTGTCTTCTGAAAATGCTGATATCATGAGAACCATTAAAATCGCTATGGAAAACTCACGAACACGGAATAAAAAGTGATCTTGCGCAAGTTCGAAAACCTAAGTAACTTTTACGAAGGCAGTATCACCATTAAAGTTCATTTGCAAGCAATATCATCGGTACTGAAAACCCTCAAGAAAATTGCTTTTCAATGAGAAAATAGAGTTTAGGGCAAGACTGTAGGAATTGCAGCCACACTACTAATTACGAGCTGATTCGAGAGTTCTTCAAAATAAGAATAGCAGAGTGGCACTCCACTCGCTAAGTGCAATAGCACGACATTCCGTTTCAGAAATCAGATGTGATTTCAAAGGACATTAACGCATGAGAAACTTTACAATTGCAGAAACACCCACCAAGTACAGTAAAATCTGGTCAAATCAACCATGAATAAAAGTCGATGAAAAGTAATAAACAAACAGCAGTACAATTGATCGCACTAGTTGAAACAAAACAATATGCCCCTGAATTCTTCGAACCGCATTTCTTTTGCCTTTAGAAATAAGGTTTTCCAAACCGGTCAAGTAGTGTAGTTATGTAGTCTAGAACCTAAAAACGACACTATACTCGTTTCAAAATTCGCGCCGAAACCGCGTTGTCTGCGCTCTCTTACCGAATAAAACTCCGTAACCAGTACCGTGTCACTTATAACTTTCTAACCCAGGGCACATCGTTTGTTGGGGAATCCCCAACAGGGTGGGGTCGTATTTGGCCACCAGGAGAGGGGGGGTCGTAGTGAGTGCGCCAGTAACGAGCAGCGCAAATTGTCAATGTGCTGAGTCCTGTACAACGAAACTTGCTTTGTAGAGAACTCGGATATGCAAAAAAATAGTACAAAACTTTCATTCATCAAACTAATCCGAAATAACTGCAAATATTAATAAGTCGACATTATCTCGTAAGTCCCGTTGGTGACTAAACATACACTTCTCAAACTCTGGTTCGCTGCCAATGATATGGCGTGTCCGCGGTCGCGCTTGGCGCTGAGCCAACCTGTTTTTTTTTCTCGACAAGCGACAGGACTACCATATCGTCGTATAGACGTTTTCCAGCAGTTGGTCTCCTTTATCGGAGTCAGCAATTTCGGTCGGAGCCGCGAACTCTGGCAGCGTCTGACAGCGGACATCTTCCATCAATACGCAACGGGAAAAACGGCCTCGCTCTAAACAAGTCTGCACAGGCTCTACCATGGACCTCCACTGAACCCTATAGCACACATGCTGAGCGTGCGACAGAAATTACGCACAATTTGACACCACTCTTTCACGCTTCTGCGCGGACTTCAGTGCGCAGGCGCATCCAAAGTCAGCACCCTACGTGATCGGCGATAAACGAACCATATTCTGCTCCTGCTCCACCGCAGGATACTTTTTTCATGCGTTCCCGGTTATTCGAACACCCTCACTTGGAACGGTACGCGGGAAACGGGTTTTTCGCGCAGCTTGGAGTACTGCGCAAGAAATCCCCATCGCCAGATCTCATGAATCCCGAGGACTTCCGAAACAGTTCAATAGGTTTTTAGAAAGAGAAAATCTTCAAACACTCGAAACCGTTCTCAGATTTGTGAAATGTTGAGTTACAAAAAAATATATTGATTCAAACCTGTTCAGTTGAAATCACTCCCCAACGAATCCCCATGGCAGATTTCTCTGTGATTTTTGCGACCTTCATAAACGTTTCAGTACTTTTAGGAAGTGCAAACCTTCCTCTACACGAATACGGTCTCCTCTTCCCCACAGGTCCGCTTTTGAGGAAGTTATGGTCCTTCAAAGACACCCCACTTTGCTGAAAACTCGCGTTCCACATGGCTGGTCCTGCCAGGAATCCCTCCCCCGGTACTCGGCCTTTAATCAGCTGATTGCGGCTGGTTTGCTCTCGTTCGTATTTACTCTTTCGTATTTATCTTCTTCTCGGTTTATTCGAATATCGAATATTTATCTTCTTCTCAGTTTACTCGAATACACGTCAGAGCGCGCCCCCCAGCAATTTTGCTCAGAGTACTCTTAGGAGGAATTGGCCTGATTTTCTGTTTTTTTTTCTTTTAATTACAATTGATTCAGATACCAGAGTTTGTTTTGACTCGAGGTAAGTGGGTGAAACTAATGGCCTTTCTTTTCTATTCTCTCTTTCTGAATTAGGATAGAAATGAGCAAAAAGCGAGGGGGCCTCATTCAGGATTGTTACTTTTTCCATTTTTCGCGCTTACTTATACATAAACTTATGAAGTTTCTTCCTCCTCGGGGGGGGGGGGAAGAAACTTCATGAGTTTAGGCATAGTAGCGCGGACGGGGGTTGCCTTACCGAACCCCCAAAAAAAGGGGGGGGGTCGTACCGGCCTTCACCAAAACTCCCATCGACATGCTGTGCCCTGCTTCTAACGAAAGCAATGTGCAGTCAGTGGATCACTCCTAACACTCCGGAAACTGAAGCTTAGGACGCCTTCTAACAAGAAGCGCGCTTTTTTGGTCGCAAGCCTTCCAAAGTATAGAAACCGCAGTTTTTAGTCTGCTTCCATTACCAATTTTCTATTATATAATGCTTAGGGAAAAAAAAGCCAAGCTTGAAGGAAGCTCCTTCAGGTCGTACAATTCCAGTGCGATTCATGGATCCGAGAATCAATGCTGTGAGAAACTTTATGGACGACATGGCGTGTCGATGTTGGTGAGGTAGAGCTGGGTAGACAGCAGAAATCTTCTTTAGCATAAGCAGAAAGACTTGCACGATATAGGGGCATTTATCGCTCAATTTGGTTGCTGTCAGTAGTCTTCGTACTCTTTACAGAGTTAGTCTGAACAGGATTGGCAGAACATTAGATAGCCATGCGAGCAAGCAAGGTCTCAAAGAGGATTCAGCATTACGCCGCATCGATACACGTGGTGACGAGGTTTATCGAAGTAGTGCGAACAGGGTTTACAGTCATCGGGACGTGTGATGCGTGCGTGATGTACATAGGTACGGACCTCCCCCTCCCCTCCGAGAAAGGTGTCAGTTACAACCCCCCCCCCCACCTACATGAGTGGTCTCGGTACGACCCCCTCCCCCCTTCCCCAACACCTACCTACCAATTTCAATCTCCCACATTTTCCAGTTTTTCACCCAGAGATTTTCCGTCTAGCGGGGAGGGGGAAGGGGTATATAGCTAGTGTAATTAGAAACAAAGAAAAACAAACATTGGGGAAATGCATACACTCCACAGCACAGATGATCCGTTTCGCCCGTTGTCGTAGACGAATCATCGAAGTCTTACCAACCCCCCCCGCTCGTCGTACTTCAGTCGACTAGGGCTGAAAGACATATGCGACATGGACTACACAGGGAAGGAGCCTAAGAAACAGGACAAAAAGACACGAAACATGCTTAGAACAAACTCCTCACGTCGCTAAAATTCATGCAATAAAAAGATGAGAAGGCAACTGTACAGTGTTAATACAATGACGAGAATGACTATAACAGTTTGAGTACTAAATACGTGCTAGAGAGAGAAGAGAGAAAATTGGATCGATGCTATGTAGATGGGCTAAACCAACTAAGGGAATGTTGAGTAAAAGAAACACTAAACTAAGGGAATGTTGAGTAAAAGACACTGTCGAGCTGATTACAAAAGGTAAATCAAAATTGTAGGGATGAAAGGAGAGTTAATGTGAACACCATTGCCTAATAAGAAATACTCTCTACCAGCCTACTTATCTTTTTATAGTTATTTGCAATAGAGTATTTGTAACTTATAAATTTATTTTTGTAAATACATTTCACAATGCTAGTAATAATAAAACCTTCTTCGTAGCCATTTTTCGACAGAGTGGTGACCATATCCGTTATTTTGCTTACGAATACATCGAAGAACGTACAAGTGTTTGCTAACCTCAACGTTTCCGTATATATAACAGAGGCTTTGTTGATAAGGGAAATGTTTGTGTCACTATATGGAAATCTGATTACATTGAAGCTAAAAAATCCGTTTTTTTTTCCGATCTCGTTTTATTATACAACTTAGTACTAACTTTACCATTAGCAATATTGATTGTCAAATCTAAATAATTGCTTGAAAATTCACTATTATGAGTTTTTTCAATTCAAGGGTATTTCGATAAACTTGATAAAGTTGTTCATCCACGTCACCATCAGTTTGGTTATGTACAAACAGCAAATCGTCCATATATCTATATGGAATGAACAGCTTACTGTTATCAAACTTTTTGGATTTCAGCATAGTAATACTCTATGACAGAGAGCGTTAGATCTGCCAAAAGTGGATGCCACCTTGTGGGGCACCTTTTAGTCTGCTTGAACGTATTGTTAGCAAAAAGACAAAAACTGTTACGTAAAAGATAGTCAATAAAGTATACTAAATCGCTGGATTTGTAATATCTGTAGTTGTTCTTGATTTCTTTCCCATCTGTATAGAAAACATGGTAACCATTAGTGGCAATAAAAGATCTGTTGGCATTTTTGAAGCAAATGTTAAGCAATTCTTGCATTTTCTT